TTTAATTTATATCCCGCCCTTCTCCTTGCGGACTCAGGGCGGCTAACAACCAGATAAAATGCTACTACCAAAAAACTACAAATTAAAAACATAATTAAAAACAAATATTAATAATTGGTCTAGTAGTTAAAAATTACTTTAAAACCCCCATTAAAATTTTTTTCCCCTAGGCCAGTCCTGCAAGTTGGAATAACCATGTCTTAAGGGCGCGGCGGAAGGAAGGGAGATCAGGGATCACCCTGATCTCTGGGGGTAGTTCATTCAGGTTACTTTTGCTGACTGCCGGCTGACTGCAGTTTGGCACTTGGATTCTCACCGGCTGAAGGTTGACTTCATCCTTCCGAGGTTGGCAAAATGAGGACCCAGATTGTTGAGGGCAATAGGCTGACTCTGTAAACCACTTAGAGAGGGCTGTAAAGCACTGTGAAGCGGTATGTAAGTCTAAGTGCTCTTGCTATTGCTTAGCAATGGAAATCCTAGTCCCAACTGTGGTCACAAGCAACCTGTAGGGTTGTGTCCATGAAGTCATTAAGAGTCCAACTCAACTGAAGGACATCTTTATTATTTTACTACTTCACATCCTGATGGGGAATCTCACCTGGGGCTCTGGAGATCGAGGGAGACCCCGTTCTTGGCCCAGCTGAAGAGCACCCCGGGCACACCCTGAGCACTGCACTGAAGCACAGCGTGGCTTCTTCCATCACCCGAAGCTGCCACTTTCCTCTGCCCAGGGCCCTTGATGATTTCTGGTGGGTCTAGAGCGGAAAAGACATGTGTGGTTAAAAGTTGTGTTGCATTTGTAAGCTACTGGCTGAAAAGCAAAGCTAAGAAAGGGATGACATCAAGGGGCTCAGAGAAACACTCCAGGGATGGGTGACAAGCAATTATGACAAGTAAAACATCGGATTTTAAAGGAGTCTTTAAGTCTAGGACATATTAAAGGTTGACTAGTGTAACACTTACATCGCACAATCAAACGAGCACTGCTCTTGGCTGCTGGGGAGATGTCATTATCTACTTGACACTCATATAGTCCAGCATGTGTTCGTTGGGCTCCCTGGACCCGCAGGGTGCCCACCAATCCTTCAGACAATAGTTCAAGGCCCAAATCTTCCAGGCTGCGCTCCAAATCACCCTGCATAAGATGCCAGAATAACAGGAAGATTGTCATTAAGCCAAAAAACCAGCAGCTGGAGACTCTTTGCATAGGCATTATTTACCTACTACAATGTCTCTGGAGATTCTCAGTCATCCAGGTCATAGTTATCCCAAAGATGCTTTTTTCACGAGACAACTGGACTTTGTTTTTTTCTGAAGACGTTTTGCTTCTCATCCAAAAAGCTTCGTGAAAAGTTGCCTCAGGAAAAAAGCACTTTTGGGATACCTATTACAATCCACCAAACACAAACATGGTGTTCGCACAGCATACCTAACCACCAATGCAACATATAATAGTACAGGGGTCTTCAAACTTGGCCCTTTTATGACTTGTGGACTTCAACTCCCAGAATTTCTCAGCCAGCATGCCTGGCTGAGGAATTCTGGGATTTGAAGTCCACAAGTCATAAAAGGGCCAAGTTTGAAGACCCCTGTAGTAGTAGCTGCATTCACATATGTCACTATGTCCAAAGCAGTAAAGCAGGTGAGACTTAAAGTGATGGCCTGTTTCAAAGAACATCTAGTGTACAGGTAGTCCTTGACTTAGGACCACAATTGGGACCAGAATGTCCATTGCTAAGCAAGGTGGTTATTAAGTGAGACACGCCCATTTTTATGATCTTTTTCACCATGATTGTTAAGCAACTCATTGCAGCGGTTAAAGGAATTCGGCTTCCCCTGTTGACTTTGCTTATCGGAAGCCGATTGGGAAGATCACCTATGGTGATCACATGACCCTGGGATGCTGCGACCCATCATCAATACATGCTGGTTGACAAATGTCAAATTTTGATCAAGTAACCATGGGGATGCTGCGACCATCATAAGTGTGAGGACTGCTCAGTGCCGTTTTTTTCAGTGCCGTTATAACTTTGAATGGTTGCTAAACAAATGGTTGTAGATAAAGGATTACCTGAGAATAGAATAGAATAGAATAGAATAGAATAGAATAGAATAGAATAGAATCCTTGGAGGTCTTCCAGTCCAGCCCCCTGCTCAAGCAGGAGAACCTATACCATTTCAGACAAGTAACTGCCCAGAGTCACTTTAAAATCTCCAGTGATGGAGCACCCACGATTTCTGGAGGCAAGCTGTTCCACTGCTTAATTGTCCTCACTGTTAGGAAGTTTCTCCTTAATTCCAGGTTGAATTAAGAACTCTTTCTCGCAATTTCCTCCCTTCCCATCCTTCGGTCTAGCCCACCAGCTTCTGCACAGAGCATGTCTCATGTTTGCCTGTATATGTGTGCCTTTTGTCTTGCAATATGCCTGTCTTTGGCACCACTTACCACTGGCACATAGCCCTGGAAGATTATCCCAAGAACCTCTTGGGCTGACAAAAAAAGAAATCCCCAACCCTTATTTACTGTTATGTATCGAGTAAAGTGGAGCAAACCACATAATGTCTGTCTCTAAAGAAGAAACAGCTCCTGTAAAACAGCCTCATAATCTTGGAGTAATGCAAGATTCCTGCCAGCCAGTTAAACGCAAAACTCATTCTTACGCTTTTTTTATGTCTGGCTCACCCAGTCCATGCAATATGGCTAATCGTTAGAAGCTACATTACAAAAGCCTTTAAAGGAAGCATTTTTTAGTTCTCAGTGGCCATTACAGAACCATTATTAGCCATCAAGTTGTAAAGGAGGTTGGAAAAAAAAGGTCATCTCACTTGGTATGGCCACATCACATCCGTTTAATTGGAGTAAGAAAAGTTCTCCTGCTGGCTCCACTATAGAGTTAGCATACAAAATCAATGCCACGTCTTCCCCTGCTTTCTCCTGACTTATAACTTTACCAGCCACGTCCACTGGAAATTTGGTATGGGGTTGGCATCAGCCTGGCACACAATTTCAGCTGTGTCCCCCAGGTCCACGTACGTTGGATCTGCAATGCTGCGGATGGATGGTGAATCTGTTTGTAGAAAAAAGCATAACTCGGTCCACACAGTTGTCTATTCGAGCTGCGTTAACGATTTGACAGCTGCATTTCTACAACCTGCTAAGCTCTCCATTAATTTTAGCTGTGGCTGGAGGTGCCTGTGTGCGTATAATGCTTAATGTATTATGCAGATAAAGTAAACACATTTAGTTGTGTTAACTTAGCAAAGTCACACATATCAAATCTGTGCTTGAGAAATCTGTAGGGAGGAAGAGGATGAGCTAGCATTGGCCTCTAAATGGGATGCTGCTAAATCATAGCTTCCTAGGGTTGGAAGGAACAAGGATAACTTCGAGTCCAACCCCCTGCCCAGTGCACAAATCCTCATAACACAATAATATAAGCCAATGGATTACATAGAACAGCTTTGGAGAAACTATAAAAAATAAAATTGAGTAGGACATGCAAAAAGAATGCCATCCTTCTTCAATCTGAGTCCTTCAAGAAATGTTGGGGCAAAATTCCCATAATCCATGGTCACTGGCCATGGTTGGCCCGACATATCTGGATGAAACCAGCTTGGGAAAGGATGGGTTAAACCAAACCTTTCTTTGTTGAGTCTATGTAGATGTGTGAAGTCAGGGCATATATTCTCCAAATCCGTTACTTACAGTGCACGTCTAGAGTGATGGTTGTTTCATTTTGTCCTTCTGCATTCTCACAGTGGATCCTGTATTTGCCGGCATCAGCTCGAGTCACATTCCAGATCTCCAGAGATCCACCATCCCGCAAGTGGTACCGTGGGGAACCCTCTAAGACAGAGACAATCCATCACAAGTCAAGCTCCCCAAAGAAACAAGTACTTGGAGCACCAAGGCGAAGAGGGGGGAGGGATTTCATGGGCCAAGCCAACCGTGATCAATGATTCAATGTTCAAATGTTCCTTCTGCATCAGGTTTGCTCCCACCCTAATTCTTAATTCCATCCTGCAGTTAAGGAGAAACTTCCTAACAGTGAGAACAAATAACCAATGGAACAGCTTGCCTACAGAGGTTGTAGGTGCTTCATCATTGGAGGTTTTTAAGAAAAGACTTGCCACTCACCTGTCTGAAATGATATGGGGTCTCCTACTTGAGCAGGGGGCTGGACTAGAAGACCTCCAAGGTCCCTTCCAGCTCTATTCTGATTCTGATCTCTCACACCAATGAGGGATTCCCCTACCATGGGTTCTAAAGTTCAGGGTCCTGCATAGCTCACATGCTACTAGTCTCCGTTTTTTTGTTTCAGTAAATATGAAGAACTTTGACACATGGAGGGACAAGATAAAGAAAATCTAAGAGTAAGAAACCTGTCATTTAATACATTTACAGTGCTTTATGGCAAAGTTACACCAATTTGACACCTCATGACCCCATCAGGTCTCCAAATGTTGGTCACCAGAAACAGCAAATATTAAATACAAGAATAGTACACTTGCATCAAATTAGTGTAATATAATTGTGGTTCACAATTTGTTTACATACAAATTATATTAAATCAAATTTGGATTTTTCCCTATCCTATCTGGTTGGTTCCCCTAGCCCAGCCTGGTTTTTTTGAGTTGTAGCCCCCAAAGGCTACTATCAGTCCTATTCTATTATCTTAGTTCCTCCTGCATATTCTATCTTCATATCTTGATTTATCTCTGCAGATCCCTTTCCTTCTTCCTGTCCACCACTTATCTTGACTGTCTCAAGGCCTACTGGCTCTTTTTTAATGGATCCACCCTTACACCTGATTCTTTTTCTTTTCCTTCCAATCCTTTCAAAATGCTTGACACAAACCTTTCATCTTCAGTCCCTGCTGGAGCTAAATCAAGGCTGACATAAACAGAACTAAAAGCTTATTCTTCTCATTTGTTCCTGCTCCCATTGTCTCCTTCTCCCTCCATGGTCTCCCAGAAAGTCCAAGTAGACAGGACCTTAAATGCAGCTTGGCAATTAGCATGCACATTTTTAAAAAGCAAAGAGCTGTAGGAAATGGGGGAGTAAATTATTTTATAGTGTGCAGCAGGTAGGGGACATACATCGACTCTTACCTTACCCAAGTTCTTTGGATTTCATCCTAAGGTGTGAGACCCACCTGTTAAGATCATCTCTCCAAGGAAACTCCAGCGATAGGTAATCTCAGGAGGACTGGCAGAAACCAAAAGGGGCAACTGGGAAGACCCATGCTCCACGGCTTTCACTAGGTGGGTCTGCTCAGGGGAGAACTCTGGAGGAACTGTATGAAAGAAATGAAAGCACCCTTTTGGAAGCCAACCCATGGATGCTTAAATGTCAAAAGGGATGGAGCTAACCTATTCTCGGAGGGGAAGAATGTTGCATAAGGCAGGCACTATGGCAGAGAAGACTCTGGCATAAGTCCCGAGCATGCAGCGTGCTTTGTCTGCCAGATCTAATGGAGTGGGCTGATGTAACCCTGGAGAGGTGCCCTCAGATAGCCCGCTTCCATGCCATGAAGAGCTTTAAAGGTTAAAACCAGCACTTTGGATTGGACCCAGAAACAAACTGGCAACAGACGCAGGGGAGCAGAGGTGTAACATGTGCTGTTCTGGGAGCCCACATAACTGCCTGCACTGCTGTGTTCTGTTCCAGCTGAACAAATCCATGGAACCAAAAGCTTCATTTTCCGAGCTGAACTTCCAACAAGAAATAAACAGTAGTTAAGGGATGTTTCCATACTTACATAGGACTGTAAGCTGGTAGAAGGTATTCACACCTTCCGAGAGAACGGAGCTGTAGGCATAGCATCCCACCCTTTCCCCATGATCTGCAGATGACATCACCAGAGTCACCCTTTCTGAAGTGGAGAAGCCTCCATATTCTGCTTTCCTTTGCCCTAAATTAATGGCATCCAGCCTGAAGGTGAGAACGCATGAAGATTATCACAGCCAAACTTAAAGTTTCTGACAGAGTCAAAAGATGAACCTCTATATTCAGAGACAATCTACTGACATAGCTCAGCTGCAGGGGATAAGCAAGAGACAAGACCTGATGCCTTTATAGCCTCGCTTGCAAGTTTTCTGACAGGCCTGTATCACGCTGCTGTCAGAAACAGAAAGCAGGGGTGCATGAAGTTTGGGACTGATTCAGCTGTCCAGTTCTTACGTTGACGTTACAGCCTAAGCCTGGGGAAGTCAGAAGCCTGATGGGTCAGGACTGAGGAACAGTGGTGGAAATACAAAGTGACAGCTGAAGAATGTTCCCATATTAGTTATTTACAGCAAACACGATCTCCTTCTCCTCCTTCTTGGATTTGTTGTTCTGATGACATTGTGGGAAGACACATGACCCAAATGGGTCTACAGCAGTGATGGCGAACCTTTTAGAGACCGAGTGCCCAAACTGCAACCCAAAACCCACTTATGCATCGTTGGGTGCCGGGTGGGCGTGGTCCATTGGCTGGGCGTGACCCATTGGCTGGGCGTGGCTGCAATGGTAACGGCAGACTGGGTGGGACTAAAAAGTTCAATCAATCAATTCCAACTTTGCAAGATCTTTTTTTTCCCCGTGAGAAGTTGAAACTGACTGATTAAACCTTTTTTTTTTTTTTTGCACGCGGCGGCGGAGGCCTAAAGCGAAAAGGTTTTATAAAACCCACCTGAAGGCCTAGGACTGGGGCGATGGCATGCGTGCCCACAGAGAGGGCTCTGAGTGCCGCCTCTGGCACCTGTGCCATAGGTTCGCCACCACTGGTCTACAGTATGCAGCCAGCATCTGGCATATCTGAGGGGTCCTCAAATCTTAATCTGGAGGGGAGGCAAAAGCTTTCCCTCTAAAACCAATCTTAATACGAGAGGACAGATTTTGGATTTGATGCAACCAAGGGTGTCCACAGGGTATGGTCAAGAAAGTCAGGAGGTCAACTGTGATAGTACAACCGAAGTTCCATCGACAACACACATAAAAAACAGGCACAGCTTCCATCACACCAAGGCGGCTGCCATCCTGACCTTTCTTTCTGCCATACCCTGCAAACAACCCCAGATGCAAAATTAATCTTGGGGCTCCACAGACTATCCAATAATTATATTGATTCAGAAAAGAGCCCCAAATCCAGTGAATTGATGTTACTAAAAGAACCCAAAAGGAATGATGCTTCATCTGCTATGCCTGAGTGATTTAACAGCCATGATGGTGCAGTGGTTAGAATGAGTATTGCAGGCTAACTTTGCCCACTGCCAGGAGTTTGATTCTCACCAGCTCAAGGTTGACTCAGCCTTCTGTCCTTCCGAGGTCAGTAAAATGAGGACCCAGATCGTTGGGGGCAATAGGCTGACTCTGTAAACCGCTTAGAGAGGGCTATAAAGCATTGTGAAGCAGTATATAAGTCTAAGTGTTATTGTTATTTAAGCCAGTCTTGGCAGAAAGAGGCAAAACCTACAAAGAAAATCAGAGAAGCCTCCGTGAAACTTGAAGAAGGTGGTCATCGGAAGAGTTACTCACCTTTTTCCATCTTTGAGCCAAGTGAGACGAGCAGGAGGGTTGCTGCTGCCTGATTTGCAGGTCAGTGTCACCGATTGGCCACGTCTCACCTTTTCAGCTGTCACTGTAATGGTTGCATGCAGAGGCGGGTCTATGGAAAGAAAGAGTATTTCAAATTCGCATTGTCACTCCTTACTCATCAGTTTCACATTCAACTCCTATTTTTCCACTTACAATGCACCGCACAACTCTTGGGGACAAAACATTCAGGGGGGGCGGAGAAAATGCATTACTGCTTGCTTACCTTATTTCAATTAATTGATATTTTGTATGTGAAAAATTGCATGCTCTCTGAACTTGGTTGTTTTCTTGCAGATGTCTCATTACCCAACTAGGTAACATCATCAATGTTAGTGTAGCTCATTTCAACCCTGGGCTACAAATATTCTCCTTTATTAGATAGCATGGAGGAAGAACGATTCCCTCGTTTAGTTTTCTCCATAACATGCTATTTTCAAAGCACAGCAGCCCACTTCTTCTGAACTCTCTATGGATCTGCATCTCCTGATGTGTTTTCTTGACACATTGAACTACAAACTATCCAATCCCAATTTTGTCTAGTGCAGGGTATTTCAACCTTGGCCACTTTAAAAGATGTATGGATTTCAACTCCCAGAATTCCCCAGCCAGCAAACCCTACATACCCTCACACTGATGATGTTACGCCAAACAGCCAATCTCAGAGAGCACTAAGAATTCTGTACCTATCTGTCCATCCATCTTTTTCTTTCTTTCTCTTTCTCTTTCTCTCTCTCTCTCTCTCTCTCTCTCTCTCTCTCTCTCTCTCTCTCTCTCTCTCTCTCTCTCTCCTTCCCTCCACTCACTCTCTTATCACTTCCCTTTCTGTATGTGTGTGTGTTTGTGCATGTGCACGCTGTATGCTGTGTTTTAACTTACACTGGACCAGCAAACTAGTATATGCAGTGAGTGCAGGAGTCTTGGGAGGACCTGTGGCATTGCAACGGTAGGTTGCCATGTTGTCACTGGGAGTAGTAGTCAAGACCAACTCCTTGGAAATAATATTCCCGGATGAGGCTGAAGATGTTCCTTCCCTTACTAACTTGATATCCTGTGGAAACAATGCATATTATAGTAAGCATAGTGGAAAGGTAACAGTTAAGACACTCTTAACCTGACTCTCAGCAGGCTCAGATCGAATAAACCAACTCTGAAAAAAAGAAGAAGGAAAAACTCTAACTGCCCGGACAATGATGAGAGGGATATTCCTCGATATATCCTGTATCATGTCACATCATTTCCCAGGAGCTGACTATTTAGGAGCTCTGGTTCAGAATACATGTATTGAGGTTACTGTGCATAACCAAACTTATTTTGGACAGTGGAGATATGAGAATCTCAGTAATAGAACTGGAAGGCCGTCAATAGTCTGAGAATGCTGGGCTCAAATTCAAGTTTGGCATGATTGGAGGCAACAAAAGAAATTAAATGTATTGGGGGGGGTCACAAGAAACAATCAAAGGAGGTTTCTTAACAAGGAGGAGCACTAACACTCTCTCCCTTCCCCCTCCCCCCCCCCACTACCAGACAACCAACTAGAATACAGGGGCCTCCTTCAAAGCCATATTTCGTCTCCAGCCCCAGCTATGTGTATCCCTGGATTTTTCACTCACTTGCTTGCCTGGACAAGGCTTCAAAAGTCCACTCTGATGAGATTGCTGCAGCTGTACTCGAATTCCTCCAGCAAGCGTGCATGTTACCTGCAAAATATAAAAATAAGCTTGTTTTAGGAAAACTGAATACGTTTGTCTATGCCAGGGATAGGCAACCTCGGCTCTTTTATGACTCGTGGACTTCAACTCCCAGAATTCCTGAGTATGCTATGCTATGCTATGCTGACTCAGGAATTCTGGGAGTTGAAGTCCACGAGTCATAAAAGATCCGAGGTTGCCTACCCCTGGTCTATGCTAATGCAAGCATTACCTCCAGAGAAAGTAGACCGGTGGACTCTGCCTTTAACACTGATGCTAAATCAAGCCATGCGTAAATGATGGATAAAGCTTAGATCAGTGGTGGCGAATCTATGGCACGCATGCCAGAGGCGGCACTCAGAGCCCTCTCTGTGGGCACGTGCGCCATCGCCCCAGCCCCGCCTCCCCCCGTGGCCCCCTCACCAGCAGCACCACCGCTGAAGGAGAGTCGCCCCTGAGTGTGGCCCGCGTGGAGCAGCGCAGCCAAGGACATGGCAGCCAGGCAGTGGGGACAAGACTCTGCCCTTAACACTTAACAAAGTTCCAGTTCCAATCGTGATTGTAAGTTGAGGACTACCTGCATTTTCTTCTGCTAGAATTTTTTTTTTTTTAATCTAAGTCTGTCTCAAAGAAAAATGCCTTCAGGAGGAGCTGATAATAGGAAATAAGCTCCAGGCAAAGAAAAGTTTGCAACTTTCACTCCTGGCCCTTTTTCAAATCAGGCACTCCACTTTGCCTTAGACTGATTAGAGCTGACCTGAAATGTAAAAACTGGGTCAATAATTGTCATTCTAGGTCTGATCTGGAGTACTTTTCAGGAGATGGATTACCCAATCAACTCCGGAATGGAACAGCACACAAACATCACTTTAAGCCTTGGTTTGCTCCAAGCGTGACTTGTTAAATGAGCCAGAGCAGCTCATTGCTCATTGGTCTAAACTGGTGTTTTTCAAACTTGGCAACTCTGATGTGTGGATCTCAACTCCAGAATGCTGGCTGGGGAATTCTGGGAGTTGAAGTCCACATATCTTAAAGTTGCCAAGTCTGAAAAACACTGGCATAAACTATAAAGCATGGCTTGCAAAAAGCAGTGGCTGAGTAGTCTGCAACCTGAAAATCAGAGAGGATCACACCAGGCAAAGGTAGTTTTTTCCCAGGAAAGAGAAGTACGTTCTTTTGACAGTGGGGATAATGTAGCTCAGAGGTCCCCAATCTTTTGGGCACCAGGGACCGGTTCCATGGAAAGAGGTTTTTCCATGGAACAGAGGGTGCGTGGTTTTGTGTGCTGCCTGCATCCTGTGGATGGGGCTTTGCTTGTTTGTGCGGACCTGTTGCTGGCATGCCACGGCCCGGTACTGGTCCACAGACCGGGGGTTGGGGACCCCTGATGTAGCTTGTATGGATGGATTTTGGAGACAGAACTGAGCCAGAGTAGCAGCGGTTATCCTTTTTGTTATGTGAATTGTCAGCAGAAGTTTTTACACTCAGGGATGTAAGCCAGAGGTTAACTGTAGGAATATATCAGGTATTGCCTAAATGACACGTGTGGGATTTCACAACTTATTATGCATTTGATATGTTCTATAACCAGATTGAAAGACTAGAATCTTGTAGATCAGACTAACCGCATGAGATTCTGCTATCCTGAGTTGAAATCTTGGAAGATTTTAAGTAAGAATGCCAAAATCTAGCAAGACCTGGTAGCTTGTCTGAAATTATAGAGAGGGGCTTATATATGCAAGGAATCCTTGGTGCAGATACCAAGAGGTTATGATAGAGCAGGGGTAAGTCAACCTTGGCTCTTTTATGACTCGTGGACTTCAACTCCCAGAATTCCTGAGCCAGCTTAACTGGCTCAGGAATTCTGGGAGTTGAAGTCCACGAGTCATAAAAGAGCNTAAAAACTGGGTCAATAATTGTCATTCTAGGTCTGATCTGGAGTACTTTTCAGGAGATGGATTACCCAATCAACTCCGGAATGGAACAGCACACAAACATCACTTTAAGCCTTGGTTTGCTCCAAGCGTGACTTGTTAAATGAGCCAGAGCAGCTCATTGCTCATTGGTCTAAACTGGTGTTTTTCAAACTTGGCAACTTTGATGTGTGGATCTCAACTCCAGAATGCTGGCTGGGGAATTCTGGGAGTTGAAGTCCACATATCTTAAAGTTGCCAAGCCTGAAAAACACTGGCATAAACTATAAAGCATGGCTTACAAAAAGCAGTGGCTGAGTAGTCTGCAACCTGAAAATCAGAGAGGATCACACCAGGCAAAGGTAGTTTTTTCCAGGAAAGAGAAGTACGTTCTTTTGGCAGTGGGGATGATGTAGCTCACAGGTCCCCAACCTTTTGGGCACCAGGGACCGGTTCCATGGAGAGAGGTTTTGCCATGGGACCGAGGGCACGTGGTTTTGTATGCTGCCTGCATCCTGTGGATGGGGCTTTGCTTGTTTGTGCGGACCTGTTGCTGGCATGCCACAGCCCGGTACTGGTCCACAGACCGGGGGTTGGGGACCCCTGATGTAGCTTGTATGGATGGATTTTGGAGACAGAGCTGAGCCAGAGTAGCAGCGGTTATCCTCTTTTTGTTATGTGAATTGTCAGCAGAAGTTTTTACACTCAGGGATGTAAGCCAGAGGTTAGCTGTAGGAATACATCAGGTTTTGCCTAAATGACATGTGTGGGATTTCACAACTTATTATGCATTTGATATGTTCTATAACCAGATTGAAAGACTAGAATCTTGTAGATCAGACTAACCGCATGAGATTCTGCTATTCTGAGTTGAAATCTTAGAAGGTTTTAAGTAAGAATGCCAAAATCTAGCAAGACCTGGTAGCTTGTCTGAAATTATAGAGAGGGGTTTATATATGCAAGGAATCCTTGGTGCAGATACCAAGAGGTTATGATAGAGCAGGGGTAAGTCAACCTTGGCTCTTTTATGACTCGTGGACTTCAACTCCCAGAATTCCTGAGCCAGCTAAGCTGGCTCAGGAATTCTGGGAATTGAAGTCCACGAGTCATAAAAGAGCCAAGGTTGACTATCCCTGAGATAAGAGGAAAAGGAACTGAGGTATCTTCACTGAGGACCCTTACTGTGGTCTCATGGACCACCAAGGAGAAGAGGAGGTTAAAGTGCTTTTGTACCTTGTACCACTCAAGACGAGGCAAAGGTTTCCCACCACTGGCAAAACAAATGAGTTTGATTTCAGTGCCAGCTCGAAAATATGTCTCCGGTGGAGGCACATTAAGCCAGATGTTCTGAGGTGGGTCTGGGGTAAAAAAAAAATAGGAAGAAAAAAACAATTAGCAGGATGAAGGGAGGCTTAAAACACAACATAACCCTGCTGGTTCTTGTATATTCCCACCCTCATCCTTACATGTCACTCTGAGAGTAACAGAAGCACTCTTGGTATACATGATGGCTTCGTTGAAGGCCTCACAGATCAAGGGCAGATCATTGTCCTCTCGATATGCTATATACGTCAGATTGGACTCAGTGACCATTCCTCCAAACTCTGCCTGCAAGAGGAAGGCAAACTTTACTCAGTGATTATTATTTGCCAAGAAGGAGAAAAGGGTATCTATGTAGCCATTCTGCTGTTTGAGGGCCTTATTTCAAGCCAACACTGTCCAGTGTCTAGAAAAAAATGGGCCTCCAGGTGAGTCAGATCTACCAAGGAAATCATTCCACCTGCCTCGTGGTCCTTCAGACTTTTGATATTGCCTACCTCTGAAATGGCAATTTCGGTAGCGTTGAGCTCCCTCCATCCCAGCCACCAACGTAGCATCACAGGCGGATTGCTTGTGGAAGTGGAACAGGTCAGGAAGATCTCTTGGTTTTCTTCAGTGCTGCTGGAGCCTATGATTTTCACATGCTCTGGAGGAACTATCATTCAAAAATAGGGGAGGGAGAGAAAGAATAATCAGTTGTTATGAGAGAGAAACCCCATGTTATAATAATAATAACTGCAGAAGTTGTGGAGAGGAAGCAGACGGTTCCCATAACAAAGTGAAAATGTTTACATGAACTACATGAGAGAGTGGGAGTTTGGCTGGAGAAATTATTGTTTAATTCTATGAACTGGTGTCTGGGAACCTCAGAGTTAGTTTTGCTTTGACATTACCACGCCGTGTATTCAATAAGCAGTAAGATTTTCGGAAATGGAATGAACCTGGAGTTCTATTTGGATTCTTGAGCTGGATGTTGACACCCCAACTCTCTCCCACATCACAGGATGGACCTTTTCACAATGCCAAGTATATCTTTCTCCACTACAAAAAGAACAAAGCTGTTGCTTTTAAAATGACTGTTGGGGCACATCTTTAGAGTGTATCTATCTCCTTGTTTGAACAACCACAGTTATAAGACTGCCTAATGCATCTAGGAACCCCCTGATCTATGCAGAAACAAAACATTGAAGAAGAAAAGGAGACACCAGTTATAGAAATTAATTGGGGAAGAAGCCTTAGATACAGGCATAGGGAGAAGAAGGGACTGCATTGCTAAATAAACTGGTTTATACTCACAGGTCACTTTCAGAACAATGCTGGATTGCAAGGGCAGAGATAAAACTTGGTTCAGGGCCTGACAGCTCACTACAGCCATGTTGTCATCCGGTGCGATTTTAAGGCTCAAGGAACTTTGGGATAATTGGTTGGCATCGTTTGTCTCCCAATTCCTAGAGATGACTTCATCATTCTGAAAGGCAGAAGACCATCAGCTTAGATGCCCAACAAGGAGTCTGAAGCCTCAAGGACAGGGCGAATCAAAGAGCCTAGATTTACAGGGGTAGGCAACCTTGGCTCTTTTATGACTCGTGGACTTCAACTCCCAGAATTCCTGAGCCAGCATGGCTGGCTCAGGAATTCTGGGAGTTGAAGTCCACGAGTCATAAAAGAGCCAAGGTTGCCTACCCCTGGCCTAGAAGTAACACATTTAAGATTTGTCAGCCCTACTTTGCAAGGGCCCATTAATAGTATGAAAGCATCCTCTGTTTAAAGAACTATCCAGCCCAAGCTACCAAATGTAGCTTATACGTGGTCAGCAAACTGAAACAGTCAGTGGGGTTTTTTTTCTCACGACAGGGAGATACGTTGACTTCTATTTACATTCATTTATCTCTGTACATGTGCACATGTAAATGTTATGTAAAGTAGCATTCCTTCTTCCTTTAATGATATGTAAATGCAACACAAGGCAAGGAAAGTGGAAGTCATTATTCCTTCCCCTCCCTTGTAACTCTGCCTATGTGCAGAGAAAAGGCAGATGAAGTAGCAAGACAGTGATGAAGCAAAGGAGGGATCAGCAGGCGTTGGAAGCGATGGTCCCCTGGCACAGGGTGGATCTTAGCTACTGGTCCATCATACACCATCCACAATGTCCATTCAAAGCCATCAGTACCTTGCTTTCTTTGCTTGCCCTTTCTCCACAAGGATGTTTTCTCTCTACTAAAAGATGCTCGCCTCTTTCTCTTTTAGAAATATTACAGGTTGTCATCGACTTACTACTGGAACTGATCCCGCAATTTCAGCCATAAGTCATTGCAGGTCATCATGGGACTGTACCAATTTTACAGCCCTTTTTGCAGCAGTCTTTAACGGAATGCCGCAACCTCCCTGGTCATTAAGTTGAACCCTTGTTCACTATGGGACATTTTCTTTTCCCAGAAAAATGTTGGTTTCCAGAAGAAACATCATCAATTGCAGTCATGGGATCACAGGACACTGCAAGCGGCCATAAAGGCAGGTCAGCTGTGGAGTGCCCAAAATAGGTGCCATGACTGCTGGAGTGGGGGTGGGCTGGATGTCAGAAACTTCAAATCTGGATCATAAATCCCTTTTTGGCGGTGGGGTATAAATGAACATTCACTAAGCAGCCAGTTAGGAGTGAAGGACTACCTATGCTCCATGCTGGCATTCAACAACTAAAGCAAGCTGCATACGCCCCTCCCCTTGAATTATTCCCCCTTGGGTGAACTTCCCAACAGATGAAATGTGCCCCAAATAACTAGGTTTGTAAGACATATTTAAGTGAATCAATTAAAGACTTGGCTGCAGCTGCATTCTCACAATAGGCTAAGATTAGTTTTATTATTGGATAGTGTTTGGCACAATGGGAGAACCCAGAGAAATGTACGGTATGAACTTAGTAGGATTCAACATGCAAATATACAAAATGGACTAAGGCAATGAAACAAGTTAAACACATTTTATGCACTCAGTCCTCAAGTCAAAAAAACAGTAAATTGGAGGCCTTACAAAGGAAGCCTTATTAAAACAATGGGCAACAATTTAAACCATTTGTAGACTAGTTATATAGGTAGGTGATTAATCCTAGCTTTGAATGCCATTGCTGCAAGACAATAACCATATTGGTTAACTCAACAACCAGGTTAAGTATTTTATGCAAATCTAGCCACACACTAAGGAATTTAACTACATTTGATAAATTTAATTGCACCCATTAAATTAAAATATTCTAATTTTGATGTGAACACAACAAAGCAAAATTCTTGCAACAAGGAAAAAAAGGCATGTTTGTCATTATTATTCCCTCCCTTACTGGGTTCCAACCCAGAAGTCCAAGCTGAGGGTTTTATTCACGTAGCAACCCATTAATCCAAAACTTAAATACTTCATTAAACTGCTTCTGCTCACCTTCAGCCACTGCAGTGTAGCAAGAGGATTCCCACTTGGAGAAATGCAAGTCAGTTTCAGTTCCTTGTTTTTTACAACAGCTCCAGTGTAGCCCTTGATTACAGGCAGCTGAGGTGGGACTATCAAAAAAAGAGCCACTGTTGAAAACAGTTTAGACATGGGGAGGTTGCACTAAATGTGTGGAAGTTCTTAGCATCTTGCCCTGATGTGTGCTGCACCTTGTAATTTCCTCCCAAAACTTCATCTGTATTCCAAGGATGAGGAACCTTTCATCCATTAGAACAGTGTTTTTCAGCCTTGGCAAGTTTACGACATGTGAACTTCAACTCCCAGAATTCCCCAGCCAGCTTGTTTTAAGAGAGGTCTCAAAAACCTATTCATTATCTCAGTGATGCCCTTGGTTGATCTTATCCATTTAGTTTCCTTAGATGGCATTCCTGGTTCCCGTCTCTTTCTTCATTACATATACTCTGGGTGATTTCTCTCTTTTCTGTCTCTTCCTTCCATCCTTCTCCTCCTCCTCCTTTTTCTCTCCCCAGCCCACTTCCTTTTGTGTTTGTTTTTTATTAACACTGTAATAAGAGTTGCCTTGAGCACTTGTGCAGTTATTTTGATGACACTTCCTTAATCCTTGGTAAAATGCCTGACAAAGCATTCCAAACAACTTACACAGGATGTTCATCGTGAAGCTGACAATGACTGGTATTAAAGTCACTGAGTTAGCAGCTCTGCAGGTCAGCAGTTCCTTGTTGTCTGAACTCTGAGGGGTGAACCTGGAAGAAAACATAAAAATAGTTGTGGGGTGTCAAGCCCATGAAGCTGGGAAAGATCAAGGACCTACACAGATTTCAGTAAAGGATCTTTAGTGTTAGATTAGAGGCAAATACAGAATCTCAGAAACTGGTTTTGGAATTTCCCGGCCTCATTTATAGTGGGTAAATTAAAGCAGAAACATTTTGAATGATTTGTAATGCTTCTTCCCAGGTTCCTCACTACCTGGACTGAGTTGAAATGAGCTAAACCGCCAATGGCCTCAATCTTTTATCTCCTGATAGTTTATTTTTGCTTTCCTTTACAATCCTACCACTTTACAACTCTACAACTCTACAACTTCTCACGAGGGAGCCTTTCAACATTAGTACTGCAAGAGTAGATCTGAACTGGTAGGTTCTGACTAGGACTTTTCAGACAACCTTTTCTTTTAAACATCTTATTTTCATTTTCCAAAAGCTTCAATTGTGGATGAGGCATTGCCTTGATGAAGGCTTGTCATGAAATTCATGGCAAGCATGTGGTACAAGTTTATGTCTTTTGGCTCTTAAAAACCTGAAATATCACCAATCAGGTAAGAAAAACTAAGAACTGTAATCTCCTTGGGACCCTGGTTCAGATCTTTTTACCTCAGCATGGCCTCAGTGCTGAAGAGTTTGGCTGCAGAGCCAGGCTGGATAGTAGATGTCACATCTGCCAGTTCTTTGTCAGCTGTATTAAAAAGGGAAATAGATAATAAGACTCCAGATTACACACATTAATGGCTACAGATGTGTGACTACAGCTTCTATTAGCCTGATGCCCTCCAGATGTTTTAGACTCTAGAGCAGACATGTCAAACACAAGGCCCGGGGGCCGGATGCAGCCCGCGAAGTAGTTTCATGTGGCCCGCGAAGCCATCCTGGAAACAGTGAGGGAACAGCCCCCGCTGCCTTGGCCCTGGCCCTGGCCAGCCGGGAGCCAATGTACAATTTTGTGGTGGCCATCTTGGCACTTGCCCCAGTGGACCATGCCTTGGCACTTGCCCCGGTCCCACCCTTCTTCCAGAGACCCTCAGATCTGTCCCACTCCTGCCCAGGCCCCCACAGGCACCCTTGACGCGAATGATGTAGAACTGGCCACGTCCACCCAGTAGGCCACACCCACTCCATCCACGTCCACCCAGTAGGCCACACCCACCCAGCCCCCCAAAGGCAACCACAATGCTGATGCGGCCCTCAGTGAAATTGAGTTTGACACCCCTGCTCTAGAGTAACTCCCATAATTCTTAGGGAGCTGATATGATGGTCATTCAGGCCATTTCCTGATTGGTCATTTCATCTGTAAAGAAGGAATTCAAAAAGAAGGTTTGAATGTTCTACATAGAAACATCTATTGTCAGTTTTAAATAAGAATAACATATTAAATATCAAACTTACACTAAGAAAACAGAATTGTTACATCCATGTAATATGCAATGCACAATCAAATGTTTTGGCTTCACATGATGTTCAATGTTACTATAACTAAGACAATGATTGAGTTCCCACAACACCTTCTTGTATAATCACCCAGTCACTTCCAACTTTTTGTGACCTGATGGACATCATTTCTCAGAATTGGCTATTGTTTCTTTGAATCCTTGCAAGCACCTGCTTGCATCATCAGAAATACTCACCTTGTTTTTCTATTAGTCTCTTTTATCAATTGCCTTTGATTTTTCCAAGCGTCAGAGTCTTCCCCAATGACTCATTTGATGTCCAAAATATCTAAACTGTATCTTCATAATTAAGACATCTAGTGATACAGTGGGTTTTACTTCATCTAGTATTCAATTATTTCTCTGAAGATGTTGAACCACAAGTAATCCAACCTCATTTTAATATAATCCACATATTAGATGAACTGAGCCATAGAATATGAGTGAAAGAGAAGGGTGTGGAAATATTTGTAGATGGAGTTAGCTAAAATTGGAAAGACAGCCATGAGTAAATTGCCTGCACGGCTTTGTGAGATATCTTGTGCCTTGCAATCCTTCTTTGCCTATGTTTATTTGGCCTGTACAAGACAGCTTTGATTCGTCTTTCCATGGTAAAGGCAATGCAAGTCTCTTCATAGGGGCACAAAGGCAATGCATTTGCCTCAATAAGATAATTTATGTTGTCTCAGAGACTCAACAGGCAGTTCCAAATTGTTGGAACAGTTAGAGGTTTCTTTCAATGCTTCCAGTAGCTGACCTGGTCCTGCTGGCAGCAGCCAAAAAAGCTAATACAATCCTGGGTTGTATAAACAGAGGCATAGAATCAAAATCACGTGAAGTATTAGTACTACTTTATAAAACCTTAGTGAGATCACACCTGGAATAATGCAACCAATTTTGGTCACTGCACTACAAAAAAGATGTTGAGGCTTTGGAAAAAGTTCAGAGAAGAACAATTAAGATGATCAAAGGCCTGGAGACTAAAACATATGAAGAATGGCTGCAGGATTTGGGTTTGGCTAGTCTAGAGAAAAGAAGAACTAGGGGTGACATGATAGCAGTGTTCCAGTATTTGAGGGGCTGCCATAAAGAAGAGGCGGTCAACTTATTTTCCAAAGCACCAGAAGGCAAGACAAGAAACAATGAATGGAAACTAATCAAGGAGAGAAGCAACCTGGAATTAATTAGAAACTTCCTGACAGTGAGGACAATTAACCCGTGGAACAGCTTGCCTTCTTCAGAGGTTGTGGGCACTTCATCACTGGAGATTTTAAAGGAGACTGGACAGCCACTTGTCTGAAATGGTATAGGGTCTCCTGCTTGAGGCTGGACTAAAAAACCTCCAAGGTCCCTTCCAGCTTATTCTGTTCTGTTCTGTTCTGTTCTGCTAATATGCACAAGGTACAGCGATGTCTAAGGAAAACATTAAGAGGATCCCGTGTCAACATTCAGTGGAATTAGATCTCCAGTTTGTTCATTGGTGGCCTTTCCCACGGTGCAAATTGTTACCTCAGGCTTTGAATCTACAAATGACGGCTTGCAGCATGACTTTCCCCAGTAGCAGTTTCTGCCAAGTAACTATGAATTGCTGTATCTGTCTTGAACTTCTCACCCCACACCGACACAGCAGGTTCCCTTGTGTTTTGCACAAAAAGCCCATGAAAAATTTACTGATGCTTGGTAACTTCTGCAAGATCTGCAATTCCTACTGGCTATGAAAGAATTTATATAGCTGCTGACATGAATTCAAAAAAAAGCAAGGCGAGGGAAGAGAAATGGTTGCTGGGATGCTCAAACTATGGGCTCACCTTTGCAGAAAGTGATCTCAGCTGGTGGTCGAGCATCCTGCACTTGGCAGTGCAGGGTGTATTCAGTGCCAGCAATCCAAGTCACCATGCTGTTAGCCTCGTACTCTACAAAAAGTGGCCTTTTGGGGGGAACTGCAAGGAAAAGAAGCAAAGTGAAGGGTTGATTATTTTAAAATTCTGTTTTTAATTTTTATTTTTTTACGGTACAAGTAGTCCTTGATTTATGACCATAATTGGGAGGGGAATTTCCATTGCTAAGTAAGGTGGCAGTTCAGTAAGTCATACCCAATTGCACCACCTTTTTGCCATGGTTGTTAAATGAATCACTGCGCTTGTTAAGTAAATCATGCAGTCAGTAAGCAAATATGGCTTCTCCCAATTGACTTTGCTTGTCAGAAACTGGCCAGGAAGGTTAGAAACAGTGAACTTATGACCCTGGGATGCTGTATCTGTCATAAATACAGGCACTTAAAATTTGATCACATGACCATGGGGATGGTATGCCTCTTATAAGTGCAAATACAACTCATAAGGTTTTTTTTTCCTCAGGGGGCATTGTAACTTTGAACAGTTGCTAAATGAAAGGTTGCAAGCTGTGGACTCCCTGTATGGTATCTTTGAAACTAGAACTTTTCTTGCATATCTTGTGAATTTCTAGCTGGATTGGATTGAAAGAAAAAAGGTTTTCTGCCCAATTTCTGTGGGCATTCCTACAAAATCACATTCATGTAGAAACACAGAAGAGTTAATAAAGGTTAAATTAGGTTAGGTTAGATTATATTAAAGCAGAGACACGCAATCTTTTGGCAGTTGCAGTTGTACATTTTAAATCACTTCTTTTGGCAGCACAGGCACAACAATGAGGCAACGTTTGGATTTGTTCCACCTAAAGGGTAGGTGAGCGTAACGTGGATAGGTGTGTGAAGCCCAACAGAAATTTCACGTCTACTTTATTTGTCTCCTACCCAAAACGGGTGTGTGATGTCATCCTACTGGACTCTGGGCAATAAAAAAAAAGTTTGCCTGCAGACTATTGATTGCTCATTCTGAGTAGGGCTTCTCAGCTCCACGTCCTTTGCTCATCTAAAAATATCCTTCCAATTAATGATGCAGAAGATTTGAATATTTTCTGGAGGAGATTGAGAAGGAGAAGGTGATATATTGAACTGTCCATTGTACTGAACTGATTTCTGTTGAATCCTGGAAGAGGATACTGTAATGCTTATTGAAATAAGAGAGCAAAGACACGAAAGCTCCTTAGTTGCCCTCTGCACAGACATATCCACTCGTTGAATTAACCAATATCTTGGCTTCTCATGACATTGAATGATCCATAAATTAGCCAAATGTCTTGCACAACACACCAAGGCAGAAAAACTAATCTAAGTTAAAATGAACCAAGCATAGTATGTATCATGTTTCCCTGAAAATAAGCCCTAGTTTTGGAGTGAGGCACACACTTAAAAATCAAGCTGGGTGTGGGGGTGTGGATCTGCCATACATGCCCTGCACCCACTGGCCTTACAGCCAGGCCTCTCCTCACCAGCCCAGCTCTTCTTCTGCAGCATCTTCTGCAGCCAGGCCTGCATTTCTCAGTCACAGGCCTTTCTTGAAGGTCTCTGCAGTCGAGAACCGAGCTGTGGATTGAATCCATAGCTTGGTTTTGCAAGACCTCTGTAGCCGAGGACCGAGCTATCGATTGAATCCATAGCTCAGTACTCGGCTGCAGAGGCCTTCTGGAAAAGCCTGATGGTGAAATTCAGGCTGAAATGCAGCTGCAGAATGAAGCTGCTCCTTCGGCCCCAGAAGGAGTGGACCTGCTGGGTGGGGCTGTCGGTGCAGGAGGTAAGTAAGGCATCCCCTGAAAATAAGACCTAGTGCATCTTTTGGAGGCAAAAAAAAAATAAGACCCGGTCTTATTTTCGAAGAAACACAGTAGTGCAATGCACTCCACTAGATTTGTAACTGATCTGGTTGAGCACATTGTTCTGAGTAGAAATTATTGTGGTTTCTCTTTATCTCTCATATTAACACTGATTTCCTATAATCAAAGTTGAGTTCTAGAGATCTTTCTAATGCAGTTTGACTCCAGCTATACTTACCAAGCACTGTCAGTTGCACTCCACGGGAAATTATGCCAGTGCTTTTCTCTGTGGGTCCAACCTGGCATTCATACAAGGCATCATCTTCCAGCTGGCTGTTTATTACTTGCAGGTTATATATCCCTAAAGCAACAGGATGCAAGCAAAAAGGTAGGTGCATTTAGTTCTTATTAGTTCTACTCATGAGTTACACCATAGCATAATTCTGTCCACTCAGGTTTGGGGCAGGTTCCTTTCCAATCACAACAGGGCATCATACTTCTAACTCATCTTACTATGAAGTAAATGTGCTAAAACATATCTAAAATGGGAGGTATGGGGCCTAAGAATATTAGTTATGTCTCTAAAATAATGGATTGCATTACTGGGACTCATTTTCTCAGCTCGAAAGCAAATCGACCAATTATTTTCCAGAGTTCATAACTTCTGAGTAAAGCTTAGGAAAGTCTTCCCAACCTTTTCTCACTCCCCCATCTGTCTTCTTTGAAATTCTTTTCACCGAAGTAATGTGTGACTGGGCAAAGATTGCGGTACAAAAGCCTTCAAGTCAAGGCTCTCTGCAGGGAAAGTCAAGAAAGTCAGGGGAATGGCTGTGACTGCTCGATCAAAGCCAGCCTAGTATGACTTGAGAACAGCACTTCCGAATGGTGTCATCATTTTTGTCTAGTGTAATCTGAGGATCCTCAAATGGTTTGCATGTTGCTTAGAGAGAGAAGAGCTTTCGGGTGGCCCATAAGCCCAAAGTCAGAATAGGATTCTTTTTTAGGTTGCCTTGATTAATGGCATTGGGGTGCACCCCCCTCCCAGAACTTAGTTACTCGTGACTGCTGCCGCAGTTGGTGGCCCAATTAAGCAATGATTAAAAGGACTCTGAGGAGTGCAGCAAAGCTTTTGATGGGTCGCAAATGGCCTCCGGGATTAAGGTTGTGCACACTTGTCAAGTAAAAATCTCTCAAGTGTATGACCCATGCTCAAAGGTTCACAGGTTTAAAATAAATAAAAATGTATATTAAAAGTGAACTTTTAAAAAAAGGAAACACAAAACACAAAATATAAAAAGATACAGCAGCCCCCCTAAAATCATAAAAGGTCATCAACGTAGCTGGAAACAGGCTCTGTTGGTGATGGCATGTAGGAAAGATAATGGGAGACTTGACTGCTAAAGGAATAGTCAGATAAGAGATAGCACAGCCCACAGCTGAGTATTGGGAGGGGCAAGAGTACTATTGTACATAGTAATGCTTTACCTGTAAATGACTTTTTTTACCTTTAATCGTAATGTAACACATGCAAACAACCACTTTAAACTTAATGTAAACGCTCCAAACTCAATTGTAACAGAGTTGTGAAAGTCTGGAATACTTGGTTCAATTGTCTCAGCCATTAACTTTCAGTTTGAATTCTAACTTAACTTCTGTGGACTTGACTCCATATTTAAGAGATCCTTAAGGGAACGTGCATAGGTGCACTCACGCACCTATCATCCCTGTCACATTGTAATTTTGTTATTTTACTCATTCAAATTTGTAATTTTTGTTGGCGAATATAAAATAAAAAATAAAAATAAAAGAGACACAGAAAGAACTCTCCCTAGTGGTGATTCTTTTATGCACAAAAATGGAAGGACACTTTGATTCCCACAAAGGATGAATGGCTGCAAAAGTTGATGGAGTCAGCAGAAATGATCAAATTGACTGCTGTGACACAAGGACACAATTAACTTTGTTTCCACTTGGAAATCACTTTTGGACTTTGTGCTTGAGGTGGAAAAAAAACGAAACCTTAATTTGGATTTTGCCAGTTAGATAGGTTTGTTGTTATAGAAATGGCTAGTATATATTATTACATAAAAGTAAAAAACTATTATCTTATTCTACTGCACCAAAAGGAGTTGGAAGTCATCGTCTTTTCTTTCTTTTTTCCCTTTGCCCTACACTTTTCCCTTCTTTTTTTCCCTTTCCCTTTTCTTTCATATTTTTGTATTTTATATTAACTAATAATTTCAGAAATGCAAAAAATAAAAATAAACAAAGGAACTAGTGGTAAAGGAGATGGGGAGGTGACCCGGGAGATTTCCAGGCTTTCAAGATTCTCTCAATGTAGATTTAAAGTACAAGTAGCGCATCTGATTGTGATTCCAATCTGGTTTACCCTGCAAAATCAACATTGTCCCAATCTGGGCATCCAGGCTCCAGCACAGCACAGGAACTTTATAGCTTAGCTGGAACTTTTCTTTGAAACCAGTTTGTATTTCTTCAAAGATCTCACCTTTGCTAGCCTCACCCATCATGCTGTAACGGGGGAACCGAGGGATGCTCCAGTTGGGGCCCAGTAAAAGCCCGTCCTTCACCCATTGCACAATGCCAGAGGGGTTCTCCACCTCACACTTCAGCAGCGCTGTCTCCCCTTCGAGAATGGTGACGTTCTCCGGCTCCAGACGGAAAACCTGCTGAAGCATCTCTGCTTGGAAACCTACGTGGATGAATCGGTTGCTCATTCAAAGTCAGCCAATTCTGTTCCAAGATCAACACAAACTGCGCAAGAATGTTTAATTTGGAAAAGCTGACAGTCTGCTTAGAGAGAGAAAGAAGGAGAAAATTGGAAGAGAGGGGAAAACCTACAGTCAAAAATTATCCCTTTGGTCTGACAACTATGTCACACTTCTACCTGCTACTATCTGATCTGCGGGAGAAAGATAAAAAAAAAAAAAATAGCAGACAGGCAGACACACTTGCCCAATGCAGATTTACATTTTGCTCCTTTGCTTATCATTTTAAATAATATTATCTGCCATATGCACTCACGGTGATAGCCAGTTTGATGTTATGATTAAAGGAAATGGACTAGATTAAGTGGGACACTGTGAGTTCTAGTTCCACATTAGGCACAAAACCAGCTGGGTGACCTGGGACCTCACCCCTGGGAAGAAGGCAAAGCGAACCACCTGAAAATATCACAGAATAAACTAACTGCATGGATTTGTCACATCTGTACATTTATATATAAGGGGGAATAAATGCTTCCTATATGTCTCTTATTGGGACCAAAACATAGAATAGTGTCCCATCCTTCTGCTGGGTTCTTTTTGCTAAATGTTCTCACCTTTGTTCACATCCAGGATAAAGTCGAGGATCAGGGGTACAAGCAAGCCACAATATGCCATTCCTACTTGCTGATGCTCTGCAGGTTAAGAAACCAGGGGTGCCAGATGTTAACAATCCTGCAAACAGTTGACCGAGCCAATGGTGGACACGAAAGCAGTTAGCATCTTCTGTGTTCACAGAAGATACTTTTCAAGATATGTGCAATATATAGAAGAACCAATTAACTGGAATTCACTTGATACATGAGATACAGAGAAAGACACAAAGAGATCCTCAAAAGTTAACACCAATCTCAGTCTTTTCTGTGAGCGAAGCTGCCGAGTCTTTAAGTAACCTAGCTGAGTTTGTTGTATAAAAAAACACCTTCTGAGTGGGAGAAATACCTCTGTGTTGTAATTATCCCACAGAAATCATTCAGAACAATGGCATTCTGCACCACTCTTACTTTTGATGTAATTGTTATTAATAATAAGATCAGGTACATCTGAGATTGCAAGCAAATAGGCTTCCCAGAGTGAGTCTGTCTGTCTGTCTGTCTTTCTCATTAAAAGCACCCGATTAAATCTGAGTAAATTGACAGACACTTCGACTGCAGGTTTCTGGAGAGCAATGGGCTGTGATTCTCAAATTATTTCTTTGTTTCCTTCAGAAATGACAAGCGCACTGAGCAGTGGGAAGGATGTAAACCAGAAGGAATGCAGAAGGTTAGAATCTATTATAAGTTCACGTTGTCCAGAGTGAAGAGCAAATGAACCTTTACTCTGTTTTAAGAACTGTATTGTCAGCTTTTTTCCCCCACTCTGCCCTTGAGTCTTAAACAGCCATCTCATCCACAAAGACTTGGGGTAGTCAAGCTACAGTGTCAAAAGCACTAAAAAAAATAAGTCGTACTAAGCACAATGGAGCTAAGTTCAGGTTATTACATCTATTTAAAACTGTGCATTAGATTATTACTTATTTTTATTCTGGGAGAAGGGGTAAACACTTCATCCGCTAGTTTCCTCTGGATAATTCTTTACCAGAAGCAGAAGGCAAGCTGATGAGAGAGAAAAAACTGGGCTCTGTCTACAATTGCCCTTGAACTCTCCATATTTAAAACTGTGCAGTAGGCTTTCATTTAGCCCCAAGCTAGGGCGGAAAAGAATGCCACTGCAAGGTCTGTAGCTGACCTGGTTAAGTGTGTTGCATGACAACACAGCCTCTGATTCAGCGGATAGAACCAGAGTCACAGCTCAGAGGAGAAGACAGACTACACACAATTTAAAAAAGGAAAATATCAGCTGAAAATCGTAATATATAATACATTCTAGCCTTCCCCAAACTTGTGCCTTTCAAGGGCTTGCCCTACAGCCCCCAGAAATTTGGCCATGCCGGCTGAAAATTCTTCATAACTAGGCAAACACATCTGGAGAGCAAGTAAAGTAGGAAAGAAATTGGGGAATTTTTTTTTTTTGTCTTTCTCCAATTTTCCAAGAATGGCCATCTGGAATTTTATGAACAGGGGAGGTTTTTATACTTACTATCCTCCCACAATGGATATTTAAGCAGGAATCTGTTTTTTATTTTAAGCATGGAACTGTCATGGGCCTGAGTCCAACCTTCCTAATCCATCTTAGACCTCAACTTTGTTTCTTCTTAGTATTTCCAGGTGAAGAAGACTCCATTGAAAGCATGGAAGAATTAAGCTACTGCAAAGCTAGGATGCCTAAATTGTTACATCAAGGGGAGAACTAGACAAAGAGAGATTTCTTTGCTGCAAGAAATGCAGAGGTAGAACATCCCCATCCTGGCTTCTGTTTTAGCTTAAAGTTCCCAGCAAGGGAGAGGTTGGTATCTCCCCCATCACTGAGAAGTTTCTTCAGCTCAAGTCAACTTCTGTTAACTTAGGCCCAATAAAACAAGCACTGGCTTTTTATGTAGCTTTCTTCAGAGATTTGAAGAGAGTTCTGTTGATCCTTTTGAGGTTCTTTGGAAGCACCATCCCAACCTTCCCTCATTCTTACCTTTTTCAGTGTGTTAGATGCTGCAAATGATTGTTCACAGTCTCTCCTCCAGGAGTGGGACTGCCAAGTCAGTGAGATGGCTGGCATTCCACTCCTGTCCCTCCTCCACATAACTGTGCTGTATGGTCTGCCCACTTCTAGGCCTTCCAAGGCTGTAAGGAAATTTTAAAAAATAAGAGATCCACCTACACCCCGATAGAAACTTTGTCTTGGCTGGAGCTGCTGAATTTATCACAACTCTTCAGTATAGAATAACTGTCAAGCAGTTATTTTTACTTGCATCTCCTCCTCTTCCTCCTGCATCATCACCTTCACCATTATTTTTCTTTTGTTTTCTTTTGAATATCCTTGGACGTTTCCTTAAATTGGAATGATCAGTTCTGCAAAACAAGTCTTACCCATTTGCTTTGTGTTATGTATTGAGGTTAATTGTTTAGAAACTGTTGGAAACGGCCAATCGGCTGCACCTGTTTAAGTTCCAGACTGACTGTCTACAACAGTGGTTCTCAACCTGTGGGTCGGGACCCCATTTGGGGTCGATCGACCATTTCACGGGGGTCGCCAAGCAAGGCTGTCCGCTATTTTTTTTGTCCGCCATTTTTTTCCCCTTTTCCGGTGGGTGCCTTACCTCCCTTGGGCTGGGCCAGCTGGTGGTCGGCCTGCTCTGTCTCTGCTGCTTGCCAGCTACACCTCAGCTGGCGCAGGGGGCAGAACCACGCATGCGCGGCGCTCCCGGGCAGGGAAAGTCCTCGACTTACGACCGGTTGGGTAGTCCTCGACTTACGACCGGTTTAGTCCTCGACGTACGACCGGTTTAGTCCTCGACTTACGACCGGTTGGGGTCGCGGCATTAAAAAGGTTGAGAACCACTGGTCTACAACATGCTAATTATCTTGTCTTTAAGAGGGAAATACTGCTTTAATTCTATTGGCTGCCGCCTAGTGGTGAGCTGTATAAATACTGGGTAAGTAGCAGTGTGGACTGCTGCTGTTGTTAAACTGAATTAAAAAGTTGTTGTTTGCACCTGCTGACTCCTCAATGCCTCACCGATCCTGAAACACCATACTTTACATTCAGAATTAAATCATCAAAATGTGAAGAGACAATTTCCCAGTTTTTCCATGCCAAAAAAAATGATAAAAGGGATATAAACAAATGAAAATCTCAGTAAATGATAAGATGCTCTATCTGGGTTTGACCAAGCCCAGTGATAAGCTCAGCATGATGCATAAAACTAGATAATTGTGAAGTAATTAGGAAGCCAAGGTCTAACAGATCATGACTAAGCATGATATATATACCTAATCACATTGTTATTTTCCCACTAAGCAGTTGCTAGTTTTCTTTGGTGAACCTTTACTGTAATAAAAATTCCTGGTCATATATATACAAACTGCTCTCCTTATTGAGAGAGGAGAGAGAGATTTTGTGCATATATCTGTGTGTGTGTGTATAACTATCATCTATCTATATAATATATATTCAAGCTGTTTTTAAAAGGGGGATAGAAACTAATACAAACCATATAAAGTAAGAAAAAACCATATAAAGTAAGAAAATGAAATTAAAAAAAGCTAAAAGTTCAAGAAGAGAAAAAAGAAAAAAGATAGAAAGTCATTTCCAATCTTCTACATAGTATTTATAAGTACAATTATATATTTACCTCTTAGTTTATGGTTATAACGTAACTCTCTTCTTTCTATAATCCATCCCATCTAATCATCAACATCATAAATCATGTTCATTTTTTCTGTTTCACATTAAAAGTCCATAAGGGGTTTCCAGCCAGCAATAACAATGGATATTGTTTTTTCAGTAAATAAACAAGTCAATTTAGCCACTTCAGCAAATTCTGTCACCTTCACATGCCTCCATTGTGGGTCATACCAAATAGTTCCATCTTTGTGCATACAGTACAATAACCTCACTGCAGATACTGGGTACAAAAACAAAGATCTGTGAATTTGTTTTTGCCTCTAGGGGGGAAAAAGTCTCAATTGTATATTAATCTTTAAAACCCTCTGAATCAACCAAAGTTCTTTTGTGGCTGTTTTTCAGTCTGATTGTTATCTCTGATAAGACAGACTGAAAGGAATGTCCTCAGATTTGCAAAATGGGAGATGATAGCAGAACATGGAGAGAGAGTGTGTGTGTGAGAGAGAGACCTCGTTAATTAATACTTAGTGAAGCTGTCAGGAAACACACACACACACACACACACACAGACCCCGCAAGGCAAGCAGGTTGTAGACAGCAGAGGGCAGCAACATCACACACACTAGGCATCAGGAAGGGGACTCTAGAAAAGTATCTCTCTAGCCAAGGTTGCCTACCCCTGCGACTAGGGGCAA